GGAACACAAGCAGGGGAAGTGGGAGAGGGAGAAGCAGGCTTCCCGCAGAGCAGGGAGCCCGATGTGGGACTCGATCCCAGGACCCTGGGATCATGACCCGAGCCGAAGGCAGTTGCTTAACCAACTGAGCCACCCAGGCGCCCTAGCCATTCTTTACATATATGTTAAGGATATTACTTTTGTCACAGTATTGCAGATACTTTTTCTCAGTTTGTCATTGATTTTATAACTTTAAAATGCAGATATCTGAAATTTTACATGTTCACATTTATTAATTTCTTTCCATAGTTCCTAGGTTTTGTGTTCTTGCATAGAAAGGCTTCACCACACTGATTTTAGTGTTAAAAGAACGCAGTATGGCTTTTAGTAGTTTAGACTAATACACTTAGAACATACAACCATAGTCCAAAGATGGATGAAGAATGTACAGAGAAAGTTGATCAGAATAGCACATTCAGAGCATGGAAGACTCGGTACAATGCAGGGCTTGTGTATGATGCTGGGCTGCATGTTAGAGGAAATAATAATCTTCTAACTCCAATCCTTTGTTTCATTAAGTATCAGGCCCTTACTAGGATAGTCTTTCTAATAACAGTTTCTAGTTTTTAGAGGAAGATGGGAAAATAGGAAGAATTCAGAGAAAGCAAAGACAAAGATTTTTAAAAACTGAATATATGTCTAATACAAAAAGTTTATAACTTGGACTCATTTAAAAGAGAAAAAATATTAACTCCACTCCAGGGAATAATTCCTTTTTGTGGATAGGGACAATGCTGAATGACTACTTTTCATCTTCAATGAAAACAGGATGGAAGGAGAAAAGCTTAAGGAAAAAACTCCAAAGTGGTTACTGACACAGCATTAAAAAAAAAAAGCGCACAAAGAGAAGGGTGAAATCTTTGTCATTAGAGAGTTTAAGTAACAGGAGAAAAACATCTGTGTTGGGCTGCTTGGGTTTAATTCTGTCAGGAGGAAGACTAAACGAGATGCCAACTGGATTATCTAATTAAGGTTCTATAACTACTCTTTTTACTATAGAACTCAAGGTTGTTGATTTTACGTAGGCATTTTCTTTACCATATTCCTTAAAAAAGGTAAACTTGAAGCTCTTAGGACTGTGATGTAGAGATTTAACTTCTTATATAACTAAGTATTTACTAACCACTTAATGATTATACTAAATGCTTATATGTGTTAATTCCTTTGATTTTTCAGTAACTCTGTAAGGGAGGTGTTATTATTCTACATCAAATATGAAGACACTGAGGCTTAGAAAAGTTGAAATTGCCCCAAATCACATGGCTACTTAATGGCACCAGGCTATGTGCCTGACACCAAAATACACACTCTTAAGATACTTCCCAGTACACCTTGGCTCCTGTTAACTTATAATCTAAATGAATGACTGCCTTCTTGAATGATAAACTACTTAATCTATTAATTCATAATTTAATAAGAAATTAAATTTATTTGATAAAGCTATAATTACTTTTAAGAGGGGAGGGGAACAGAAGGGCAAATTACCAGATTTTCTTTAAGTGCCATGCATTGTTCATATCAGAAGTAGATTTCAAAAAAATCTATAAATATCACATACATAAACTGAAATCAGTGAGTATTTAGAGCTGCTGTAGTATGTATGAAATACTCTTATATCTATGCATAATATTAATTTTGATTGAAACAGTACATTTATAACCAAACATATTTAATAAGGTAGTAACATGGTTTCTTTGCCTGCCTATCTAGATCTATCCATCTAAACTGCTTCCAGCCTATCTTTATAATTGCCAGACGATCTCACATTGTTCCTAATAGGAGGGAGGAGGAACTATTGCTCCCATTTTAAGTAAATGGCCCATTTTCTTTATATGAAGTGTGTATGAGTAATTACCCCTTAGTATTTTATTGATGTTCTGCATTTTCTACTCTATTTCCCATTGGACAACTTTTATACAGTATTTTAGATTTATATGGTTATATACAAATGTGCATTAAATGAACTTAACCTATAAGTCATTTTTTCCATTTAAAAAACTACAATAAAAACAAAGTGCAATTAGAAATATTACATTCAAAGCAATGTTTTCTACTTCCAAATCTGTCAGTGATCATGCCTAGAGAGAATAAAATTTTAGAGCAGTGCTGTCCAAAAGAACTTTTTGTGATCATAGAGTTCTATTTATGCTGTCCAATATGAGGATCATAATTACATATGGCTACTGAGCACTTGAAAGCCAGCCAGTGCAGGGCACCTGGGTGGCTCCCATTCGGTTAGGCATCTGACTCTTGGTTTTGGCTCAGGTCATGATCTCTGGGTTGTAGGATCGAGCCCTGCATTGGGCTCTGCACTCAGCATGGAGTCTGCTTGAGATTCTCTCCTTCTCCCTCGGCTCCTTCCCTCACTTGCACGTGTACTCTCCTCTCTCAAATAAATAAATCTTAAAAAAAAAAAAAAGAAACCCAGCCAGTGTAATGAGGATTTCAAATTTTAATTTACTTAATTTTAATAATTAATTTAAATTTAAACTGCTGCTTATGGCTAGTGGCTATCATATTGGACAGCACAGTTCTAGATTTAGGTGTCAATTTAGGAGACTCGTGTTTATTTCTGTTTTTAAAGTTTACTTTTTCAACCTCAAATATTAAAGAGACTACTTATAAATAGTTTAATCAAGTAAAAATAAAACTACTAGTTCTCTGGGAACTTTTGAGGAACTTTTCTTATCTTTTGATCTACTCAGACTATTTACTCTCAGGGATAATGAGGAAGTTCCCTACCTGCTGGGAAGCTGAAGCCGCTCTCTGTTCCGCCTGACTTAGACGCCTTTGAAGTCTGTTGGCTTTTTCTTGATGCTCTAGAATTAGTTTCTCATTCTGTTATGGGGAAATACAAACAAACAAGTTAGAAATCCATATGTGACACAGAAAGGTTTTGTGGAATAATCAATGAAAAATTTGAATATCACTTTACTTCTTATAAAACGCGAAGATAATATAGCTCCAAATTTATATTTTTTCAAATTATGAATTTCAAAGTTCAAAATTGGTTTCACACTTTGACTACATTATTTTTTCCCCTCCACATGTTACCAAAGAAAGTGAATTAAATCTAAAATCAAAGTGAATCAGAAGACCAAGATTTTCAATATATATATTTTAAAATATTTGATATTAACCTTGAGATGCTAGATCACTGCTTCAGAATCACCTGGAATATGAAAACACAACCAGAGCTTCAGTAGGATGGGATGAATTTTGAGAATCGGCACTCCTACTGAGTTCTTAGGTGGTGTTGATGTTATTTGCTAGTGATTCAGAACTACCATGTGAAAGCAAGCTTCTAGAGAAATTGTGACGTTGCCACTATTAAAGTGCAAAGAACAGAAAATATTCATTCTAGAAGTCTTGATTTTTAAAAAGATAGACTTGTCTTAAACGATTTATATGTTAAAGATGTTACTTAAAAGGGGGAAGAACTCTGTTTCTACATGCTCCCCAATACATTTGTATACTCTAGAGGATATTAGGATCATCAACAAATATGGCATTGGTATGGATTGAATTATGTCCCTAAAAAAGGATGTTGAAGTCTTAAACCCCAGTACTTATGAATGTGATCTTATTTGGAAATAGGGTCTTTGCTGATAATTAAGGTAAGATGAGGTTTTAGGGTGGATCCTAATCCAATACACCTAGTACCTTCATAAAGAGGGGAAATTTGGACACAGAGACTGACATGGACAAAGGGAAGACCACATGAATACACATGGAAAATACCATCTACAAACCAAGGAACGCATGAGGCCACCAGAAACTAGGAGAGAGGCATAGAATAGGTTCTCCCTCAGAGGGGACCAATCTTGCTGACTTGATTTGGACTTCTGGCCTCCAGAATTGTGAGACAGTAAATTTCTGTTGTTTAAATCACCAAGTTCATAATACTTTGTTAGAGTAGCCTTAGGAAACTATATGGACATTATGAATATAAATCTGTCACAACATACTGTAATGCAGACAAGTTCAAAGAAACTACCAATTATAAAATGTATTTGTCCTTTCCATACTTACTAGCCTGAAAAAAAAAGTTTCTGTACAACTAGAATTATTATGTGGTTTTCTGGCACTTGTCTGAATTGAGAGAGTAACATCAGTCTAATCAGGAATAGTAAGAAAAACAGACTTTCTATGAAGAACTAGATAGTTTCCAGCCTAACATATAAGTGATAATGGTGAATGTCATGCCTAGTAATATAAAATACTGAAATAACAATATACTGCTAAAATGAGATTATATTTTTTATTGTGCCCAAAAGCAAAATTAAATTTTATGAAGAGAACTACACTGGCTGTTTCAATTTACCAAGATATTTAAATATGTAGTCTTAAATTTAAAAGGTGCATCATTAACACTAGAGAAAACCTGGGGGTAAAATCACATCATCTATAATAATCACTTTCATAGGTACCATCAGATTACATACAATATGCATTTTTCTGTGCTACCACCATAATGGTTAAGAAACAGTCCAGGTTAGGTAAATCATAATATATGCAACTGTTCTTTTTCAACTGATCATTTTGGTTGCTTTTGATCTTCTAATATTATTAACATTATTGTGTTGAATATCTGCCTTTAAATTTTTTCATATTTTAAATTATTTCCTTAAGTACAGATTCCTGGAAGTTTTGAAAACGACAAGTATTTTAATGGCTATTGTTTGTATTCTAAATGGCTCATATCAATTTATAATGCTTTGAAACTTAAGAGTAATTTTGTTATGGCTTCTATAGATGGCCACAAAAATATAGCCAACCATATAGTGTATTAATGAAATTCCAACAAACACATTCGAAGTTAGAACATCAAACGAAGAACTAGAGTTCTAGAAAGCTCTAATCATAATCTAGACATTAACTTTTTTTAAAGATTCAAAGAGAAAAATGATGAGCTCTTGCTGCATTTAGTTCTAAAGCATTAATCTGAAGAAGTACTTTAATATATTCCAGTAGGCAAAGGTAATTTCTACATTTCTTATGTGTTGAATTAAAACAAAATAAGAGGAAAGGGCTAAAAAATATAATCTTAGACATGCTTAGAAATGAAGGGGATCTTAACACATTTTCTGCAACACGGCACAAGTTATATTGGGGAAACTGAAATAGGAGCTCTACCTTTTGTCATTTACATATGATGAATCACTGACTTTCAAAGTTTTTATTCACATTATAAAATGTGGACTTTTAGGGTTATGGATGATTTCTCTACAAGGAGTACTCACCTCTGTATGGTCATTTCCAAGTAGAGAATTAATTTGGAGTTGGCTCAGATAAAATTCAGAAAAAATGTGTATCAAGCTGCAGCAGAAAGTACTTCCCGGGAGAGTCATTATCTTACCTCAACTACCTTTTCATTTGCCATTTCCAGCTGAGAAAGCAGCTCTTGGGTATGAAGTTTCTGTCGACTCAGCTCACTCCTATTAATCAAGAGACAGTCCCCCCACCCAAGCCATTAATATCATTGTTCAAAAATCTAACAAAATAGAATCTTTTTTAGTGAGATATATGTTCTGTTCATGTTTTAAACAAAAATACCTTATGTGTAAAACAAAGTCTCTTTTCAACAGACCATATTTTAAAGGACTCATTTCTTTTTTTTTTTATTCTTATGTTAATCCCCATACATTACATCATTAGTTTTAGATGTAGTGTTCCATGATTCATTGTTTGTGCGTAACACCCAGTGCTCCATGCAGAATGTGCCCTCCTCAATACCCATCACCAGGCTAACCCATCCTCCCACCCCCCTCCCCTCTAGAACCCTCAGTTTGTTTTTCAGAGTCCATCGTCTCTCATGGTTCGTCTACCCCTCCGATTTCCCCCCTTCATTCTTCCCCTCCTGCTACCTTTTTTTTTTTTTCTTAACATATATTGCATTATTTGTTTCAGAGGTACAGATCTGAGATTCAACAGTCTTGCACAGTTCACAGCACTTACCAGAGCACATACCCTCCCCAGTGTCTATCACCCAGTCACCCCATCCCTCCCACCCCCCACCACTCCAGCAACCCTCAGTTTGTTTCCTGCGATTAAGAATTAGGACTCATTTATTTCTTTATAAAATGCACATGTATTCTGGAGATTAACTGTATACTGTGAATACACTGGACACTACTGAACTGTACACTTAAAAATGATTAAGATGGTAAATCTCATGTGTATTTTATCACAACTATAAAAATGTTAAATTTTATATATATTTTACCACACCAAAAACCCCCAAAACATACACACACATATATTCTAAAAGTACTTAAGTGTTTTCAGTATTATTATCTTGAGGAATTATTTGGCATTAAAATGATCATATATTCGTATTAAACAGATAAAGTATTTGTTATTATAAAATCTCATAAGCTATTGTGATTCTTAGCTATAGTATGCATTTTTAAGATTCATATAGAGTGCTTCTTAGAGGAACTCAATTTTTGGAAATTTAAGGTAATATTAATCACTCCAACATCATTTCAGTGTAGTATATTCAGAATTGGTATTTATGTTTTGGTTGTATATGAGCTATATTTTATACATTCATATCCTTTATGCTTTAATAGCTGGACTTATCTTATGCATAGAGCTGGCTGTCTTCTTTTTCCTCTTCCTCTTTTTTTTTTTCCCCCAACATATAAGCGCATCTTGCTTTTGGCCAAAGATAATTTCAAGAGTCTCAGGTTAGATGCAGAAACAATATAGTCTTTTTTTTCCTTAAAGATTTTATTTGTCAGAGAGCGAGACAGAGAGCACAAGCAGGGGGAGTGGCAGGCAGAGGGAGAAGCAGCCTCCCTGAAGAGCAAGGAGCCTGATGTGGGACTCGATCCCAGGACCCTGGGATCGTGACCTGAGCCGAAGGCAGATGCTTAATTGACTGAGCCACCCAGGCGTCCCAGAAACAATATAGTCTTAAAAATAATTTTTAAAAAGATCAAATTTCTGAGTATTAAAATACCCAGTTAATTCAGGATTGTTTTTTTATCCTTTGATCTTCTGCTTCTTAAATAAATCAACAGATTAACACTTCTAAAATAATTCAGCTTTGAATTTTTTCCAAATGAGCTGCACAGCCTAAAAACTTGGTAAGCCCCTTAAGTGACCTATATGTGTACGAATAATTGTTAAAATCAGCAAGCAATTTTTATAAATATATAGGAGAGAACAAAAAATGTCATCCACAAAATCAATTCCACAAATATTTACTGAACACTATGTGCCAAGTACAAGGTATATGGTGGTAAACACATAATTATTGCCATAACAGAACGAAGAGGGAAATGGCTTCATCCATACAGGGCACAGTTTATGAGGACACTGAGTATCTGTCATTGATTCTGTGACAGACAAACCCAAATGTTTTACCTTCGCTTTCTTCTGGTGGTAATAATAACGTAGAATAAATTACTGTGCTTACTTTCAAGTACCTTGTGTAGCTTAAAATTACTGCTGCACCTCAACATTAACGTAACAAAGCGAAGAAAGGCAAAATGACTGAAGTGGCCAGTCTTCTAGGCCAAATGTAATTAAAGGTAAAGTTATGCACATTAGTGTTACTGAGAAACAACCTTTGAGTACTACTGAGATTAAGATGATACAATGATCCCATTTATAAAGTTAGCCAACATTCAGTTTATATAAGACCTTCTCAGAAAACACTTACTGCATAATTTGATACCTAAACTATTCACTTACCCTTGACATTTTACATGAAAGTAATAATTTCTGACAAGTACTATTTGACACTAATAATTTTCCACAAAATTTAAGACCACAAAGATGCAAATGATTAACTTTCAGTTCTTTTTAATCTGTGTAAATATGTTGTTGTATATTAAGCTCTGTAACCCCCACTGGATGGTGAGCAAGTTTGTTATCCTTAGGATCTGGTACTCAATAGAGCTTGGCAAGTAATAGTGAAGATGATGATGACGGTGATAATAACAGCAAACACTTTCATAGTGCTTACTAGGTGCAGGCACTTCTGGGTGTTTTATTTAAATTATTTAGTTTTCAGGATAACCCTATGAGATCCCCAGTTTTACACATGAGAAAATTTAAAAACAGAGAAATTTAAAAATAAAGGTAGGTCATGTAGCAGTTATAGAGTCAGAATTCAAAAACTGGGCCCTTTTGTTTCAAACTCTATGCTCTTAACCGCTCCCCTACATTGCAACATGGCAGGTAATTGCTAAATGTTAGTTGAATGAAGAAGTGAAGAGTATATACGTGTGAGTTTGTGTATTAGATATTCGAGGAATATAAAGATTTATACATTCACTTAAAAACCTAACAAATTATTTCTGACTTCTTCCCTAAAGGTTCAGTCTTTTATTCAAATTTAACATGCCTAATATCAAACTTTTTGCATTTCCTTGAAAACCTCCTTCTCATCTTGCTACTCAATTTTTATATCGACAACATCTCTGCCCTCATTGCCTAAGTTAAACACCTCAACTCTATTTCTCACTTTCTCTTAAATGCAACATGTAGTTTGCCCCTAAACAGACTCTTCCTTTGCAATGTCTCTTGCATCTTTTCTTCATTTCTATAACAGTGCTACCATCACAACTCAAGTTCTTTTCTTTTTAAGATTTTATTTTTTCATTAATTTGAGAGAGGGCAAATTAATAATTTGCTTTCTTAAGCAATAACTTCCAGTGGCTTTCTGCTATTGGACAAAATAATCCAAATTCCTGAGGCTGGCATTCAAAATCCTCCAAAATTTTGTGTAATATCTCTTTCCAATCTTATCTCCAATAGCCACCTTCCACTTTGGTTAGGTTCTCACTATCTCACACATTAACCATACACGTAACACTTTTAGGCTCATGTTTGTCATTTTCTGTATCCTCTTTTTTAGATTTCCCTTTAAAATCCTGCCCATTCTTTAAGATTCCACCTTTGCCCCCTTCCTTTTTTTTTTTTTAAGATTTTATTCATTCATTAATTCATTCATTCATTCATTTCAGAGAGAGGACACACGTTCTAGTGCACACAAGCAGGGAAAGGGGCGGAGGGAGAGGGAGAGAGAGAGAACCTCCAGCAGACCCAGTACGGAGCCTGATGGGGCTTGACTTCATGACCTGAGATCATGACCTGAGCTGGAATCAAGAGTCAAATGCTCAACCGACTGAGCCACCCAGGTACCCTCTTCCTTCTATACCTCCTTCCCAGTTCATTTTAATCTAGGCAGTTCTCTTCTCAAATCAAAGCTTTGATACTTATTTTATGTTCTAAGAATTTAAGCAATTCTCTATTATAATGCTAATCATTTATATATGTGTGTGTAAGCATACATAACATATATGTACACACACACTTCCCTAAGTATAATGGAAACTTTTAAAAAGGGGATTTTTAATTTCCATAGTATTTACCACAGTGCCTTACATACAGGATATCAATAAACATTTGCTGATTTATGGCTAAATTTCTATAGAAAATCTGGCAGTTAGAAAATTTGATTCCTTATTTGCTCAACAAACATTTACTGAGGAATCTACCACAAAACATATTTTTTAGATAAAGGTTATTTTTATTTATTTAGATTTATTTATGTTCTAGTTCTTTCTACAAAGGATTTGAAATGGCTAAGAAAAGGATATTTTTCAGTTAAGCATTTCCTTCAATCTCACTCCTGAATGAAATTTTAGAAGGTATTAAAGGGTGGAAAGAAAAGTGATTTTGCCAACTCTATCCCCTGAGACCTTCCTAGAGCCTGCCTGTCACTCCTCTGCAACTTCTTATTTCTTTGTCAGGGTATTTCCCTGCAGGAATAAAGGAAAGATGCAGGAAGATGACCCAAGTCTGTATTATCTATGAGAAATTTTCTCTTCATTAGAGAACATTACTGAGAGTTCCCTGTATGAGTCCCTAAATCATTAGTGATTTAGGATAAACATAAAATAAGACTTTCCAGAGATTTTCACAGTGGTATTACACTTGAAACAATTGCCAACTAAAGCTATATAATCTCTTCACTGGAAATCTTTAAAAACAGAAACATTCTTACCTATCAGGGATGATTTAAGCATAGCCTGCCAGAAAGTAAAGAGATAGATGACATTTCATTACTGTAGGACTTTATGGCACTTAAAGGATATTTTATTCTAATTAAAGAATTTAAAGGAAGCTGTACTCAATTTCTCTATATAATTTCTAGCATGTTATACAATATGTTATAAAGTTTAAGGTAAAACTATCTTCTATCAATTTTAATGTAAGTGTATAAGAATGAGGAATTCCTTATAATATCATTGGGAATTGCTTAGCCCATCAATGTCCTAAATACTTTCAGTTCGGTCATATAGTTCATGTGCATGTGACATAAAATCCTAGTCACGCCTACAAAATGTAATTTAGAAAGACAGTTGTAAAATACAACTGATTTACTGCCTTCTCTGTAAGCAAAATTTTATAAAATAAT